TAAAAATGTCATGGGTTAAGAGAATATATTTAATCGTAAAAATAAAACATGTATGTAAGATCACAAGTCCGATTTAAAAAATTCTTGTCAATACGGAAAATATTTTTGGCTAGTAAAAAACTATTATAGATGTATATTAATTCATCTATTTACACTATTAATACTTGGAATATTTTTTGGATGATCTTTTCTCGTATAATCTTACGAATTATATATGTATACAATAAAAATTACTTACCTGTCATTTATCAAATGACAATTAGACTGAATGGTGAAGCAAAAATATATAAATATAGAATTTTAAACAATTTATGATGAAAAAAGAAATTATAATAAATAACGAAAAACAAGAGGAATTATATTTTCTCAATTTTTATTATCTTACTCTTCATATTATGTACTGATACAATAAAACAAATTTAACCATGAACGAATTTTTTCATGTTCTTGCAGAAAAATATAGACTTACATAAACAATATTTTGTAGATAATATAAAAACTTTCCCTCTGACTATGGTTTATTGGCCTTATAAAATAATTTTTGGACATTGCTTTAAGTACTTTGCTACTTGACTTAAAAAATAGAAATCAGCAAAATGTATCCTAAGAGACACTACTCTTAGTTAATGAGTTCCAACCAAATATAACCAAATTAATAACATATACAACTCATTGCCGTTGATCTTACTACTATTACTATTTACTATTTTCTTAAGATAAATAAAGCAAAACCCTGAGTGGTAAAATATCTTTTCAAAAACGCCACTCACCAGTATACAAGAAGAGAAGTTGAAAATAGAGTTGTTGAAAATAGAGTTTGTTGATTTTCATACATCACCTATCAATGAAAAATATGAAATAAAATAGTGTACTATTTAAAAAAAAAATATTTACACAAGTATGTTAGGAATCTTAAAAATACAGGTGCTGGATGTCGCTTTTTTCTGACAGTCAGTCATATAAAATGTTGAAGTAACAATCGCTAATTTTCGTTAATCTACAACCATCACATGCCTTGTAAAGTTTTTATATGACAACTTTCTGTGTAGATTTTTCACATTTGATGGTAACTTTAAATGTAACGAGGCCTGCACTTTCAAATTTTTTATCAACAAAAATACTAAGTTACAAAAAAGCATAAGCGACTTAAGTGTCAACTGACAGTCAAGTTTAAATTAAACATTTCAAATTAATGCATGTAAGAAAAACCTATTCAGGCCGATAGTACTTTTTTGAGAGACATTGATCTGTATACTATGTATACTGTATTTTGCTTGCGAAAGACATAATGAAAAAATAAAATAGTAATGATAAATGGAGTACGAGTAAATAATTATATGAACAGGTGAACAAGAGAGAAAAAGAGCGTGAGAGAGAATTTCAAAGAGGAAAAAAATTGGAAATCGTGGAGGCATGGAAAATTGAGAACTAATTGTTAAATAAAAAGTAAAATAAGTTCACATGAAAAACAATTGGAAAGAGCGACTATGATTGTAACGAAAGAAGGAAATGATAGATCGAATTGAAGATAAAAATCAAAATTATCCCGGGTAAAAACGCCTCTAAGGCGCTAAGAACAGGGACCAAACCCTAAAACTCGACTCTCAATGCTCGAACACATTAACAATCCACTAACGCCATTTTCTCAGATCAGATCAGATTTTCTTTTTCACTCTTCTTTCTCTCCCTCCGCTTAGCTGATGTCACTCTCTCTTTCTCTCTCTCTCTCTCTCTCTCTCTCTCTCTCTGTGTGTGTGTGTGTGTGTGTGTGTGTGTGTGTGTGTGTAGACNGGTCGATTCCCAGTCAAGGCACTCAGCAATGAAGCGAGAAAGCGAGCGGCTTATAAAAATGGAAAACTACAACAAAGTATACTATTAAAACACGTACGTGCTTGTAATTCTTGATAGCAAACGAAACTGAAAACTAAATATCTAGTATGGGCGCGTTCGAAAATTACCGTTCGTTACTCGGATCGCTCGAGCGATCGTTCTAAAGATGCACAGAAAATTCGATAGGTTGTGGAAACAACAGTGTACTCGCTAAAAATGCTTGTCAGTAAACGTTTTTATAATAAATATACTTTTTATACTCATATTTATTCAATAATCAAGATATTTTTTATCTACCGTTAATTATATCTTAGTTTTAATCATCGTGACATATGTCATACGATGCCTCCATCGTATCCATCAGAAGTGAAATCGTTTGACTGTCTAATCCGGTTTTCCCAAATTTATTTTTTACTTCTTTAGTAAATTGATTTTTTTAATGACTTTAGCTTCTTCTTGCAATACGTTATTTCGGTATTCCTCGATTTCGTGCGTCGTCCATTTAGTAATTTTTATTTCCTTAAGTGCTTTTTGAATAAAAGGATTATACAGCACCATCAGGAATTGTTTGGCCATTTTTTTAAAAATAAAGCCACTCTTCCAGAGGGATTGTCAATTTATTGATTTCAACATAATTATTGTGTCAAAAGTTTCATTATATAATAAATAAAAATTACGGAAGCCCGGTAACGACATCGTGTGTGCAGACTTGAAAGCTATAGCAAGTTGCGTTTGAATGCGTGAAAGAGCTAAGAGCTGGGAATCCCATCAGCCTTGAGATCGAGTGGGTGGGTAAATTGCGAAATCGCCGCCAATTTGACAAACATTGAGAAAACTCATGATTCGAGGAGATCCGAAGTATTTTTGCGATATCTATTATTGATAACGAGTTAGGTTGTTTTGAAAAAAGTTCCAGCGTGTCAATCGGCAAAATAGCCGCCACCTGGTCGAATGAAAACGTTTTTTGAACGTGCTGCACGTACTGATGCGGGATGCGAGGACTGGCGGGGATGAGCACGCGGTCAACGGCGAGCGGAGCTTGCCTGTGCGCTGCACGGTTCAGAGCAGAGATGGTTGAGTCTCAACTTGAGACTTGTGACCCCCCCGTTGGCAATGTACGAGAGAGACAGATATCCACGTTCGACGTTATGTCTCTTTCCTTTTCTACTTGTGATGCTGATTCATTCATCAGCGGAGCTATTCACATAGACATTTTTTGCTTATTTCATTGTGAACGTTCACATTGAAAAGGGGGTTCCACTGTTCCGCTAAACTCAAAGTGAGTGAACAGACTGAACAGACCTATAACTCTTTTTTCCATCAGGCAACAAAGCCTATGGTCGCAACTATGATGACTGACAGAGAACACAGTATAGGTCTGTTCAGTCTGTTCACTCACTTTGAGTTTAGCGGAACAGTGGAACCCCCTGTTCTATATGAACGTTCACAATGAAATAAGCAAAAAAGTTCAGCCAGTATTATACTCTCTACACACTACATATATATATATATACAATACAGTACCAGACAGTACTCCTTACTGTAGCAGACTGTAGTGTAGAGTGTACAGAGAGAAAAGAGCTCTCTGGTCTGGTGTCTGGTGGAGAGAGAAAATATTGGTAGCCATTTTGTGATTATTGGACGAGAGAAGCAGAATCAGGTATTATTTCCATACTGCGTGCAAAAAAACAATTTCGCGACTATTTGTTCTCTATCCCTAGTCCTTGTATATCTGCATCGATTGTCCCTCTCTACTCAGTCATATTATCGATTAACCTTTCGTTAATTCGTCCCTTTTTTTTTTTTGGTTAGGGCAGTTTTCCCGACTCTCTTGCATGACGCTTTCGACGTATATCTGCGTTTTCTTTTCCTTCTTGGTCCACTCTGTATGATCGTGTACGCATTTGCAAATATATACCAGTGAACGAGAGATACTTATCGAAACGAAATATCTGCAAATGTCGTATATTTACTTATTTATTGATTAATTTTTTTTTTTTTTTCACCTTTATTTTTTCGTTCCAACTCTACACAGAGGGCGACCTTCCATTCGTTCCCCTTATTTTGATACTTTTGTTTCCCCCAAAGAAGCAATTTTTCTGCTATTTATCCGAATCGTGACTTTCAACTTTTTTCATTTTTCAAAATCTTACAAATCATTAAATGATCGTGGCATCTTTAATTTTTGTGAAAACACTTGTCGCAAATCAAGACAAACTGACTCATACCCAGCACAACCTACTGGTCGGATTTCTGTGTTTTATGTAATATAACATCATTAGTGTACATCTAAGTAATAGTAATATAAAAAATAGAACACTTCTTTTCATGAAATGTGGAATAACTCAAGCTTTCTCCTTTTCAAACCAATAATATTTTGAATAAATAAGCATGTACAATGATAATTAAATTTCAAGCCTATCATTGACAACTACTGACTATACTCAGTATGTACTTAATTTGTTAAAAGTAACTTCACCAAGTTTTGTTGCGTTGTGAGTCGTAGATGTAAATAGGGCGTATTTGCGCCTTTGCAAACCAAAGAAGGAATCAGTGGCCTTGGGGCATATGTGCTTTTTTGACATTCACGTTTCAAACATGTTTTTTATAAAATGTCAATAACAGTACAATTTTCAATTAGAAGGCCAAATTAAATTTGTCGTCACACAACACGTTACACAAAAAATAATAACACGTGATCTCAATAGCATCACAACTGCAAGATATTAAAAGTGATTTCTCTCGCTTGATCAATTTGTCACTTGAAAGAAAAAAGAAAAAAAAAGAAAAAAAAAAAAACATGTGTCAATCGAAGATTGTTGAAGGATTTTCAATAACAAGCCATTTGTTTCATAATTTTCATTTTTGAGATAATAAAAAAAACGTGTCACTTAGAAAAATGTGAAAAATGAAAGAGAAACAAAAACAACAAAAAATAAAAGTCTTTCAGTAAGAAATGGCAGGATGTATTTTGTATTGCGCCAAACTCATAGAAGGCAGTTTCTATCCTTATAGGTGAGAGGGACAGAAAGAGAGAGGGTACTCTTGTCCAGGCCCCATCATCTGCTTCCCCGACAACGACCATCATCGAGGCCACTGGATCCAAGATGGACCAAGATTCAAACGATGTGATGGACGACTCGGCATACATACCGCCAGCCCCGTCGCCGCCGAAGCTTAGTGCCACCGACGTTTACAAGAGCAATAACCGCAATCGGAGATCTCCTACGCCTGACAGACGCCGTAGGTGGCGCAGCGGAAGTCGCTCGAGGTCGCCGCCATCGAGGTCTAGCCGGCGCTCGAGGTCTCGCGATCGTGATAGGGAATACCCCAAAGATAACGATTACCCGAGAGATAAAGATAGAGAGAGGGAAAAAGATAGAGATAGGTACGATAGGGACAGAGACAGGGAGTATTCAAAGGAAAGGGACAGGTCCAAGAAGCGCTCCAGAAGGTCTAGATCACGATCAAATTCAAGATCCCGATCTAGGAATAGAAGAGGTAGGGACAGACAAGACAGGAATTACAATAGAAACAAGTACAATAAAAACCAGAACTCGAATCATGCAGGGGGGTATGGCGGTAGTTCGTTTATGCCAGCTGTGGCACAGCCTATAATCCCAGTGCAATCAAATGCCTTCAAAAACGACGGTAGTTTCATGGAAATGTTCAAGAAAATGCAAGAACAGATACCACAACCAGAGCCTCCATCTGTACCTACTGTCCTTGAAGAAAAGCCTGTAGCTCCTCCACCACTGATGGTTGGTAAGCGAAGGGGTGGCAGGATACTCAAGACGGGTGTAGTTGTCAAGCCTAAGACTGAACAGCAGATAGAACAGCCCAAGGATGCTTGGTCACTGTACATGGCTGAGGTGAAAAAATATAGAGAGGTCTGCTGCCAAGAGGAGGACAACACAAGACCTCTGGTCAAATAATACTCCACAGTGATGTGAATCCTGAAAAAAAAGTGCTAAAAACTATTTAGTGATTTCTGGATTCCAAGTTATTAAATGACTATATGCAGCTCTTACATATGACATTTGTTTAGGAGTCTAGTGATTTGTCAGTTTTTTATTTTTTATTTAGTTTATTCTAGAGTTATAATCATTATTTTGGAGATTTATCCATATAAGTGTAGGTACCCTAGTTATTAGTAGGGTAATTTAAGCATTAAACGTTTTGCAATTCATGTAAATACGTACATATGACATTGAGATGTGCCCTTGCTTTTGTAAGTAAAATTTTGCTCATATTACCGATTCCAATTGTGATTAGCTGTGTACTTCAAATGTTGTTCTAATTGATGCAATACTTAAAAATATTGATGTTGAAGTCTTAGCTTGCTTATACTTAATCCTAAATATTTCAAAAGCTTGTCCTAGTAATCAGATTGTTAGTTAATGTCCTCAAACGATGGAATATCGGACTAATTTTTTTTTTTTTTTTTTTTTTTTTTTTTTTTTTTTTTTTTAATTGAAGAATCTTTCTCTTTCAAATTTTCTACAGTAAATTTAGAGTCAGCATTAAATTGTTGTAATGGCTTATGTTAAAAAAATGTCAAGTCATTAAAGCACCAAAAAATCAAGAATTGAAAATTCATCAATGTCTTTTGACTTTATGCAAACTAAAAAAAGTACTACATCCATAGATACTAAATTTCTTAATACAATTAATAAAATCACCTAGCTACATAGGCTGTATAGTAAATTTTGAAAATAGAGAACAGAGGCTTATTGATACGAAGCGAGAGAAATTATTGACAAAATCGTGGAATAAATGAAATACATAATGTACACTTTTTGCTATAAAAGTCTAATTTTTTGGATAGCTAAAATGCCGGAAGCAATTGAGCCAATACCTAAAGAATTTCGAACTTGTCCGGTGGATCCCAGATTTCCAAACCAGAACCAAACAAGGTAATGAATTCATAAATTAATGTTTTTTAAAATTATTTTAAAATTTAAACATATTTGATGAATTTCTTAATACTGTTATTACAATAATAATTACTTAATCTTATTTGTTCTATTGAGGTTTTTTACGATTTGGGATGAATGAATTATTATTACAAAAGTACTAATCAATTATTTTTCTGCTTTTTCAAAGGTACTGTTACAATAGCTACCTAAAGTTCCACAGATGCAAGAAAGTGCGAGGGGAAGACTTTGAGGCTTGTCAATACTTTAGGAAATGTTACAAATCTCTGTGTCCCAATGACTGGGTTTCAAAGTGGGATGAACAGGTTGCAGAGGACAGATTCCCGGGTAATATTTAGGTGAAATTACGGTCATTTTTTATGATCCTCAATTAGTCAAAATGTGTCCATCGTTGAAATCAGGGAACAAGATTTATTGCTTGTTTGTCTTGAAAACAGTTAAATCTTCAATATTACGTTTGTAAAGTAATTATTAAATTATCATCGCTGTATTAATAAAAACAAATAATGTAAACATAAAAAAAAGTCGTGTCACCCTTCATTTTCCATATGTAGATGAATCTCCAATAAGGTAAAGTGTTACTTGTAGCGTGTGCACTTGTTACCTACGCCTATTTATCATTCAGCTATTAGCACTACAGAACTCTAGCTTGCCTGCACACAAGTACTTATAAGCAGGGCTCCAGGAACCCGCGAATGACTTTCGAATTGGGACACAAAAAAAAATACCCAAAATTGCGGAATTGTTAGCAACGTTTGCAATCACTTTGCAAAAAATTGTCGGATCTTCCGGTTGTCTATAAAAAAATAAAAACTAAATAGTCCATCGAGAGTCCGAATAAGTACGTTGTCTGGCTCAAATACTCCATACACGGCTATGGAACTTACTTTAATCGTTTGCAATTTAATTGTCGATGATGATTATCTATTGCATTATCGCAAAACTAACAGAAAAACAATGTGAAATAATTATTTCAGTCATTGCGAATGAAGTCTTCTCTGCAGCTATATATATAGCTATAGCGCTCTCGAGAGCAGACAGCTACCAAACTGGCGGAAAATTCAAATATGTCGCACAGTAGAACAACTTCTATTAATACCAAGATTTATAACTTAAAATATATATTGAAGAAAAACTAACACAAGAGTAATTACAAAAGAACCTTAAACTTATTATTTTTTAAGTGAATTTCGAAAATGTGTTTTTACGTTGTGCGATCGTCTACTCTACGTGATTGAAGTCGATTCGGTCTTATCAAGTTGAATTAAATACTAAAAAAAACTCTGTTGCAGTATGAATTTGCAACAAGTGTGCATTATTAATAGAACAAATTATTGTAATACAAGTATAAAATTATCATTTTGGCGTTTGAAAGTGGCGACATATTTGAATTTTCCGCCAGTTTGGTAGCTGTCTGCTCTCGAGAGTGCTATAGCTATATATATAGCTGCAGAGAAGACTTCATTCGCAATGACTGAAATAATTATTTCACATTGTTTTTCTGTTAGTTTTACAATAATGCAATAGATAATCATCATCGACAATTAAATTGCAAACGATTAAAGTAAGTTCCATAGCCGTATATGGAGTATTTGAGCCAGACAACGTACTTATTCGGACTCTCGCTGGACTATTTAGTTTTTATTTTTTTATAGACAACCGGAAGATCCGACAATTTTTTTCAAAGTGATTGCAAACGTTGCTAACGATTCCGCAATTTTGGGTATTTTTTTCATGTCCCAACTCGAAAGTCATTTGCGTGGAGCCAAATCAATTTTCCTCTTTTGGATTTTCAGGTGTCACGTGTCACAGTGTGCCTATTTAAGTACTTGATATGTAATTAGCAATTTTTAGCCACATTTTATTTTTGTGGTTTTGAATATCACGCGTCATATTGTATATCAACTGCCATTTTTTCATTTGTATATTGCCGGAAATTCTTGTGTTCTCTCCGCAAATGTCAAAAAATAAAAGAAATAAGTAACAGGGTTGTTGTAAAAAAAAAAAAAAATCTTGAAAAAAACGACTCCTCATAAACGTGTCATGATGTCATAAGTACCGCACCGCATATTTCTACACACAAAGAAGAGTGGGGGGGCCATTAGGCCATATGATAAATGTGATACGATATGATAAAAATGTTAACGTATTTCACTTAAGTACGTGGCAAACGCATAAGGCATAGAAATTTTGTCTAAAATCAATAGTCGGCTTACTTATTGACGAAGTCGTTTTTTATTTCTGTAAAAAAATCTAGAGAGGATGTACTATACGAAAAGGGAGAGGAGGACACGACAGCTCCGTAAGTTGGTATATGTGTTGTGACTTGTGTCGCTGAGTGTGTGTTAGAAGGGGGATATATATAATATATGCGAACATTTTATATAAATACTCGTAAGAGCCGTAAGTTGAAATGGCGACCGTAGAGCGTAGACGTCGTACAGTATTCGGAGCCGTCAGAGGTGCCAGGGTGTAATCTTTGTTTTGCTCATTTATGATATACACTTATATATATCATCAAGGCCCTCGTACCAGTGAGATATTTATTCGGTAGTGTACCTTATATAGCATGGCAGCATACTTCGCCCGAGTAACACTTAACATTCATCACGTAACTGCAGGATCGTCATCATCATAATCATCATCCATCGCTGCCAGAGCAGCAAATAAAAAAAAAAAACAATAATAAGCAAATCGTCGGAGTGAAAGTACATACATGTATGCGATAGCAGCAGCAGTAGCGCGTAACACAACAGTGGACGTTAAGTACGAAGGTAGTGTGGTAGTGGTGGCACGTCGTCGTCGCGGTAACTGTTCCCGTCGACGACGCCGACCTTACGTGCAAGTGAGTGTTATTTTATAGTCTGTAAGCCGGGACTAAACAAAAGAGTACCACCCCGTCGTTCGTCGACGAGGCGGATAGTGTAATGCATCAGCGGACGCAAACTCAGAGGCTGAGGACAGGCCGTGATCACCATCAGCATTACAATCAACTCCAAAGCCGTTGTTGTCATAATCAACATCCTCGTTATTACCGCTACCGTAATCTTCATCATCATCTACACCGTCATCACCGTTATAATACCCATTACCATCCGCATCATCATCATTGTCGTAATCACCATCGTTATCACCAGTACCAGCGAGACAACGTTTTGCTGCTCTTCTCTTCGTAACGCACAGCTCGGTCCTTCCGGCAAACGGTGGCAAACACATGCATCGTCCCGGGTTCTCGTTTGAGGAGCAGTTAACTCAAGTGCCTTGTCATGTCTCGGGCTGCCAACCAGGAGGCCATTTCTCGTCTCTTAGCCTTTATTTTGACACTCTGGTGTCGTCACTTTTGTTCCTCCAGTAGTATGAAGACACTTGGCCTTTTCTGTTCTGGAGTTTTTCTGTAAGTTCAAAACAACAATATTATACATAAATTGTTTTGAAACTGCATACATCAGTGAAAGTCTTATTTGGTTAGATGTGTCAAACTTTGTGTAATTTACCAATAATTGGTGTATTATCATTCGCTTTTTAAAAATCATTAAACGAGAAGGAACATAAGAAATTTTGAGACTTGTGAAATCACCTTCGAAACTTGTGTAATAACATTTCTTAACACAAAGTAGACTATTAAAAAGGTATTTGTGCATGATTTTAAAAATAGATTTAGATACATTGATGTCAGCGCTGATAAGCTTTCATACCTAACCTGTCCCATATCACTATGAAGTCCAACTATCTAATCAGTACTTTTCGAATTTTCAGACTTGAAAGAATGAATTTCTTGATGATTTCTAACCAGAGTTTTGGATCCAAGTAAAGTTAAATTCTCGGTTATTCCTGTGATCAGCATTTTAAATTGGGCCCACTATCAGGGTGACGGATTATTGTTGAAAGGAAAAGGCAAAATAAACAAAAAAAAAAAAAAAATTATGTCTCAACTGAACAATAGCACCGGAAAGCGAGGCCGCGGCGTGGCGAGCACCTCGACGTCGTCGGTCTCGGCCTTAAACAGTTCCACAGATCTCGCCAGTTTGTTCGAGTGTCCTGTTTGCTTTGACTATGTGCTGCCGCCCATTCTGCAATGTCAGAGTGGTCACTTGGTCTGCAGCAACTGTCGACCAAAGCTCACCTGCTGTCCCACTTGTCGAGGGCCTTTAGGTAGAATATAGAGCTTTTTTTCAATCATTCAAAGACAGTAACCAACAATAAACTCTTGCTTTTTTTTCAGGTAACATTCGTAATCTTGCAATGGAAAAAGTAGCAAGTAACGTAATGTTCCCCTGCAAGTACTCGACAAGCGGCTGCGCTGTGACGCTTGTGCACACAGAAAAGCCAGATCACGAAGATACCTGCGAATTCCGTCCATACAGCTGTCCGTGTCCCGGTGCCTCGTGCAAATGGCAAGGCTCGCTTGAACTGGTCATGAACCATCTTGTCATGAGTCACAAGAGTATCACAACCCTTCAAGGTGCGTACCCTTTCCAAATTTCCATTTTTTTTTTTTTTTTGTTGTTGTTTTACGTGCAATTATTTTCAAATTCGTTCAATCATGATTGTTTTTTATTGTTACTACAGGAGAAGATATCGTTTTTCTTGCAACGGATATCAACTTGCCAGGTGCTGTGGACTGGGTGATGATGCAATCCTGCTTTGGGCATCACTTTATGCTTGTACTGGAGAAGCAAGAAAAGTACGACGGTCACCAGCAGTTTTTTGCCATAGTTCAGCTCATTGGCTCGAGGAAACAGGCAGAAAACTTTGCTTACAGGTTGATACCTTAACTATCTAGTATATATTAACGTTTTCATATTTTATTCATAAAAAATCATTGATGAATATTCATTGGCAAAAGTATGAATTTCGTTTTATTTGCTTACGCAATCAGACTGTTGTATATCGTGTATTGTTATGCATTACAAGCGTCCTTGAGATTAATACACCTAACGTTAGATTTTTTATATTTGGCTTCCTATTCACTTACTATTACAATAACTGTTAATGCTTATTCTCTTTTGTTTACCATTTTGACAGACTGGAACTTAATGGTCACCGACGACGTTTAACGTGGGAGGCAATGCCGCGCTCAATACATGAGGGCGTTTCCTCAGCAATATTGAACTCGGATTGCCTGGTGTTCGACACGTCGATCGCTCAGCTGTTTGCTGACAACGGCAACCTCGGCATCAATGTCACTATATCGATGGCATGAGGTAAAGCCGCCTCCAGCGGCTTCTGAAGAGCCTCCGCGTCAGCCAAGCGTCACTCCTTGTGAACGTGATTTGCCTAAACTCTTGAATCATTTGATTCAGTGCTTTTCTGTGTATGTGTACAGGGTGATATATGGTTGTAACATTTCGAGGATAAAGCCTCTCGTCTCTTCATGAAGTCACTGAGGATAAAAAAAAAAACTACGAATCGTTGGACAAACGATGAGTGTGATACCAACGTTCTAAAAATTAGAAAATCTCTTTCAATCTTTTTGCGTTTGTATTGAGTTTTCCCTTTTGTACGTACTGCCCAAGAATTATTGCCCCTCCGAATTGAGAAGTTTGTTTTGTACAATATTTTTTAGGGCTCTCTATGCGACTTTACCTCTAGTTAACTGTAGCGTGTGAGCAGATGTAAAATACAAATATTTTATTTATTTATCCTTACTAACAACCGTCAAACGTTATAATAAAATTTCAAAAAAATTATGAAAAATTTCAAAGTAACTTAGAGGTAGATTCTGCTCTCGTGCGTAAGCATATTGACGATATTTATCATTGATATTTAGTTTTTTCAGTTTTTCTTCTTATCTTTTCTTCACAAGCAAAAGTCTACATGCTTCTGTTGCATACACACAATTTAATAGTTAATTTTTACGATGATTCAGACTGAATTCTACATTGTATACTCTTAATAATGGGAAAAAATATTTATAAAGGCAGTAACTATAGTTGTAAATTATAAAAAAAAATTTGATAAGACATGTAACGATTAAATGTATGAATATGTTATGTAGGAATGACAAATTTTATTATTTTTAATCATGCGCGAGTAAATATACAGTCAGTTAAGATAGTGTTTCTGGATGTGCTCTTATTGCACTACTGTACTCGCTTTTTACTGCACAAAATGCAGTTTTAAATTGGGCTAAAAGAAAACAAAAATTTTCTAATTAGGGATAACTTTTTCAAAGCTGTCACTTTGACAATCCGGTAGATTGAAGGATGGACCAGGCTAAAAAGTAAGGCCCCAATCTGTTTTTCAAACAAAGCTTGCATATTTCCTTATCCACAGGATTCTAGAAGGCTAATGAAAAACGAACGAAACATTTGAGAAGCTTAATGGAAAAAGTAATTAGGTCGGTTGTAAAACTTGAGTCGAACTAATTTTCCAACAATAAGCTTGTACACGTGTGTGTGTGTCTACGAAACATGAAGATGCAATGATTATCGAAATGGCCCAATTTTTTTGACAATTGTACATAGTTTTACGATTTTTGACGAAAAATGTCGATAATATAAAATAAAATTATACCTTTACATTAACGGTCGCAATCGTAAAGATTTTAAATTATTAATTTTCAAAATGAAATACAAAAATTGGAGATAAGCAGGCGTGCATATACGATTTTCTTTACAGACTTGCTTTAACGCTCAGTTTTCACTTTGACAACTTTTTACGAATAACATAACAAAAGCGATATGCAAGCCTGCTTTAAAACTAATATTGCTGTACATAAAAAAAAGAAATTGTAGCCTAAGTACTTGTAAGATAAATCAATCTTCATACATCTCGAAAAAGCACCTATACAATAAAATTATTTCTTTTTTAAATTACAGAGAACATTTACAGTTTTTTTCCCCCTTTTTTTTATTTTACTTTTATAAAATTTGTATCTAATTACGACAAGCATCATATTATTTTCAGTGTACAACTAGTAATTACGTAATCACGAAGTAGGCACGAGTACACGAAAGATCTTGACTACTTGTAAAAGTTAATTCATGTGAGTCAACAATTGAATACTTTGATCTGAATAACGATGCGATCTTCTCGCTCTGAAGTGTAAACGTTGAAAAAAAATTACGTGGGGAATCAAGAATATCAGGATTCGAGTGATTTCAATCAAGAAAGAAAGAGAGAGAAAATCGAGCGTGGAGTTTCGGAGTCGAGAGAGAGAGAAACGATACATACGAACACGTATATAAAATGTGTGCACACGTATATAGTGTCTTGCCGGCAACCTACTCCATCTCCGACCGCGTGTGTCTTTTCCTCTTCGCGCATACTCGGCCACGCTCTCGCTGGCTCTCGCTGCACAACTTGTTGCCTTCGGTACTTGTATACTAATAAGCTTCGTCGTAGTTACTTGATTTTCAAGAAATTGAAAAAAAAGTTGATATAAGTAGCTTTTGCGATAACAATCATGACAAGCTATCACAAACCCGAGGCTAAGACCATCGCCAAGCTGGAGGAGCTGGCGAACCAGCTGAGGATCCACTCCCTCGAGGCCACCACAGCCAGCAAGTCAGGGTGAGTCGTGTAAAAATGCCCTTTTCAACTCTATTTTGCCTGTTAGGTCCCTCTTCGTTTGTTAAAAATGAGTATACTTACGACCAAAAGTTTAATACTTGTTGCCTTTGGGAACACATATAGTATATGCGTAATTTCTTTTGAGCTGCATATAAGGGGAAAATATATTAAGTAGTCTCTATGGTTGTAAATGTTGCATGTTCGAGAGAGTTGGGTGAGTGATGGAACGGTTGTGAGTTGTGAGGGGAAAAAAAAAACACAAGGCCAGCAGCAGCAAAAGAGAAAAAATGATAAGAGAGAGCGTATAAGTAACGATTTCTCCGGTGACTCTCCCTCGGATTTCACGTTTGAGTTTTCCTAGAAAACCGATTTTCATTCAAGTATTACTTTTATCGGTGCAATAATACGTGTGTTACGGCTATAACATTATGTATAACACGGTACATACATCATATATCACTCATATCTCCAAGAACATTAAACTGTATTTGATTGCCAAAGTGATGTATATTATTGTATTGTTGTCTTGTAAATTACACATGACTAGCGTGACTAACAGTAAAACTAACTGATACCTCGTTCTCTTTTTCAAAAGGAGTGCACACGTTTGTTTTTATCTTTAATAATTGATGGTATTTTTAAAAAATACATCTGATTACGATTAGTGCAATAAATAATATGTTTAGATATTCACTAACCGTCCGGTCAAAAGTGTTTTTTTTTTGTTTTTTTTTTTAACCCTTGGGTTATATTAAATACCTAAAATTCTGTCGAAATTTCGAATAAAAAATAGAGATGTATACCACCAAAATTAAAAGAGCAACTCGTGTGCAATAAGAAGGTCCTTGTACAATAATGATCAGTGTGATATTTTCGGATATTTACCTAGTGACATGTGCGATTTAAAAGCTTAAAAATTTCCAAAACATATAATTGTATAAGTATCCACTACGCGAGTCAATGAAAACAAAAATGTCTGTGTATTAATTACAATGTAAAAGAAAACAGCGTTGACAAGCCCGAAAAATTAAATCTTGTTTGAAAAAATGCCGTTTTGATCGCCTTACCGATACATCATGAACTTCGATGTAATTGCTCGAAGCCTTTTTTCCATAACACTTTAACCCGAAAACCATATTTAATCGCAAATTCTTGATTTTTCATTTTACCTAATGTGCAAAACATAGTTGTTTCCTCGGTAAGCCATGACAATAACACCAGTATGTATACTTACTCGCTGCACGACGGGCAAAAAAATACCGTATACCTCACGAAGAAACATTTTAAAGTTGTGCTAAATAGACGTTGAATCATTCAACGAAAAAAAAAGTACGGTTTTACATATAGGCACCATCTATCTGTACGTGTCTTCACTAGCATATATTCCCTTTGTAAAGTCAAATTTTTTTTTTTTTTAATTGCAAGTATACATTGTTTGAAGTTTAAAACACTATCTATAGTCATGTGCCACGGAATAATTTATACGTTTACGCGCATAATAAAGTCTTGTATTAGTTTGCAGATTAAATACAAAAGCGTAAAACAAAGAAAAAAGAAAAAAAAAAAGAAGAAGTTCGAAGCAGTGACGTGTAACACATGCGTTATCATAATGTACATAAAATAGTTGCTGCCAAATCTACTGTAGATATGGATATAAGGTATAGATGTAGGATTTTCTCTCTTTTACTTTGAATTCAAGCATGACGTCGTAAATAATTGAAGTGAATATACGTTTATAACAGTTGGTAACTTTTTCCAAGTCACAAAATATACGTATGAGCACCATCAAATGGAAGGAAAAGAAAACGGGGGTCGAGTTCTAAAATAAGTCTCTAGTATCTCCAAGTTGGTCTATACCAATACACACATTATCTGTCTCTCTTTCATCTCTCGTACCCCTATGTAAAAAAACGATGAAAAAAAGGAGCCTCATAACTATATGTGCCCTTTTCGTGAACCAGAGTTGAATTACAGGCAAGATCGGTAATGACATATTTGCCGATTTTCTTCATAGAAAATGAAGAAAAAAAAAATCACAAGTTGTACAAGAGAGACACTGTAGTACATATTGTGTATTGTATAGGTAATGCGTATATGCTCGCACGCTGCTCAGTCCATCACGTGTTGCCGTCCCTCATTTCACTTCTTTTTACGTAACGATCCGTAACATACATGCGTGTAAGTACACGTATACACTGATAATTCCACGAGTAAGGAGAGGTCGCCTGATTGCCGTAGGCGCGCTTTATACCTTTTCTTTTCGTTTCTTGTACAAATGGATGAATTGTAGTAGTTTTTTATGTTTACGTGGAAAAAAAACTATTATCTTTGAAACATTTTATATACGAGAAGTGTTGGGATTCCATTGGTGAGGTACATAATATACACCGTGCAATTATCGGCAAACCTTGGCGTTTTTTTCTTGAGCCTATCATATTACACACTGCACAATACATCACAGTCTACCGCGCGATCTTTGTGTAAGTTTTTCGCGACTTCACTGGCGATAAACTTCAACTTGATGAAAAAAAAGGCCATTTAGCAAAGCAATAAATAGTATTTGCCTGAACTTTGACATTTTCGTTTTTATTTTGAGCTAAGAAAACGTTACTTTACATCGAACGATTGAATTCATTTGATGTTCCTTTGTGATCGACACGACCAAAGATTTTAGATTTGCCATGTCTGCGACGAAAATTTATACGTACGTGAAAATGGCACCGACAATCCCAAAAATCAGAGTGTTTCGTGAAGATGACCTAAATGAAAACCTTAGCAGTTGGAAAAAAATATTTCCAATACGTATTTCAGTTTAAAAAGTCCCTGATGTGAAAATTCTAGAGAATGAAAGTAACGAAATCAGTGTTTAATTAACGATTAAAATGTTAATTGTTCATTTACAGTATCTGTGTAGTTAGCCATTTAATTGCAAGACCTGAAATTGGATGATAAAAAAAATTAACTAAAAATAATAAGACAAATTATAAAAATACGACTCTCGACTCTCAACCTTGTATTCCAGGACAGTGCAGAATATTCATTGATCCGTCCCTTCGTACACTATACCCACTTATATTTGATACTCTTTTTTTTTTTTTTTTTTACTCGATTATATCAAATTAACTACTCCTCCTACTTTTTTTTTTTTTTTTTTGAATCCAATACAAAAATATCTCGTCTCGTATATCCACGTATTATTCATTTGTACAGGTCCTGATCAAACACACACACATGTCCACCCAGTATTAATCCACAACTTGGCGCTGTCTTAGCTCTATAAAAAATAAAAGTACCTACTATGGGATCCTGGAAAAAATACCTACGTAGCAAAAGTAAAAGAAAATTCACCAAAGACCAGACGCATAATAATTGTTATTGTAATCTCGATGTATAAAACACATTACACCTAAATACAAGTGTACACCACAAGGGGGGTATAATATACTTAGTACACCCATACATATAAGTTATAGGAGCACCAGAGCAGCGCGTATGTATATACATGTTGTACTTATCGCACGGGGTAAAGCTCCCCGCGGCTTTTGCACATCAGTCGACCGACCGACGACGCGCAGCGAGCAGCTCTCGCGCCTCCTCCTTCGTCTCATGCAAGTATCAAAAAGTGGCTCGATAAATTATCTAGCGCTACGCAAGTATAGTATTTGGGTTTAAAGTGCTGCGAGGAGCAAAATAATATTTAAAAAATGGTGAAGACGATAAATGCACAGGTGCTCAAGGATCAGGCGCACAAGCTGAGGATACACAGTCTCCGGGCGACCGAGGCTTCCAAGAGCGGGTGAGGACACTGTACACGTACGCGTATGGCACCGCTAATAATTATATTGATCCGACGCGCCTCTCTGTCCACGTAAACTCGGCAAATTATTTTAATCGTTTCTACTGTTAGCTGATGGTTTTTTTTTTTTTTTTTTTTAAATTGGTCTCATTTGTTTTACAATCGAGGAATTTTAAGGGCTCCTCGTGTGGAAACGAGCACAATAAACGCGCTCCCTGCAAAAAATGGCAATGCAAAACAATCGCAGTCCATCAATAAAGATTTATGTATGAAAAAGAAGGAAAGAAAGAAAATATACTCAAACTTAACGAAGGAGTCGTCGGGTGTATTTTATTGAGCGCCGTCCGTTACTTTGATAATGCGCCTTTTCGCTTGGCGGGATATCGATTGTTGCGCAGTTCGTACGAATGTGTTTTCGGGCGCGCGAATCGATCGGCTTCTTCTCGTGTCTCCGTTTCGAAAAAAAAAAGGGGCGAAACGTCGTGTGCACAACCTATCTTATCCCTTCCCCGACAAACTTATCTTTTCTCGTGGTTTTTGCTCGATGTGCTATTTTATACCCACTTGAAGTATTTTTTTTTTTTTTTTTTTTGTACAATTATTGATTTGTTGTAGCAAGACTTGCATACGAATATTGTTGGGGATTTTTTTTTTTTTTTAATTTAATTTTTTGGTTAATGGCTCAATGTATTTATTTGGGTTGAAATGTAAAAATTTTGTTTTAAATAACACAACGATTAACAAAATTTGTCACAGTACAAAAAATCGCATTACAATTTGAAAGAATAAGCAATTTACAAAAAAAAAAAAAAAAAAATACATTCAATTTCCAGTACTGTACAATTAACTGTAATAAATCCATAAAATGTGAATATTGCACTAATCTTCCAAATAAAAGCCATTTTTTTCTCCATATTTTTCATCGCAAATGGTGATGAATAAAAAATGTTTTAATCAAAAAAATTTCCGATCAAGTGCGTAAAAATCTAAAAAATAATCGTGCCCAAGACTTGTAATGTTGCGACTGACTTATCATCCAACTTGCACACCACACTACCAACCCAAAGTGATAAAAATCACACACATAATTTTTCGCTCATTTAATCTTTACGAACGAGTGAAATATTTGCGATTTTTACCAAATTTTTTTGTTTAAAAACCACGACATAAATGAAACAACAATTAAAAAAAAAAAAAACTGTTTTAATAAGAACACATGTGGTGTAGGAATATTCCAAAATTACGCATGATTTTATTTCACATTAACTGTAATCGAAAGCCAAACTGCTGCATGCGTGACCGATGTGCGTAAAGCATCGTATTCCCGGACATTACATGTACGTATTTTGCGCGTAAATTTTTTTTATTTTTTTTTCCTCTTTCGTGCAGAAATCACCTGCTTTGTGCTCTTGAGTATGGAGTAATATTCATACGAATGTAAAACGCTCATTAGCTAATAAAAGTCGAGTTTAATAATTATTATAACATTAACAGTTGAAGTAAAAATAGTAATGATAATAACTACCGTAATAAATGTATGTGCAATCGTCAATTATTTTGCATTTTTAGCTTACATTGCATGCGGTTTGAAAATTGTTTTGTATTTTACCTTATTTTTTTTTTTTTTTTTTTTTATCCTGGCGGGGAAGGACGAGAGGGTTTCAGTTCCACATGCGTAAAAATACTTTGCTTCCGTAGATACGACAGAAATCTAGAAAACTGTTTCCCTAAAATCGATTAGACATCCCGAGAAATAGCAGCCCTGCAGAAACTACCATTTACCTACTCGTGCTTTCGGGTACCAATAAAAAAAAAATCGTAGACATACAAATTACATAAATTATTGATTCGTTATTTCGACAACTAAACTATCGACCCTGAGGTGTATCGTCATTGCATTTAGAAAATAATTTTCAACACACAACCATATTTTATTATTTTTGTGTCACTTTACGAACTGCCTTTTTTTTTTTTTAATTTCATACACAAGTATCAAAATCGCACAGTACCTTATTTGAGATTTAATGCGTGTCAAAGGTTTTGCCTGATTTTGCCATTAAAAAAAAAAAAAAATTGTTGAAAATCCAATTCTTATTTTCTAAAACAAATTCAAACGATACTAAATTGTGTAAACTCAACTAAAATCTGTAAGACGAACAGAGCAATTTCTCTATAAAAAGTTTAAACCTATGGTTGCAATTTTTTGTCGAAGCAAAAACAGCTCACATGGTATAGGATAGGATTGCGCAACAGGAAGCTCAAGCGAGCGGTGCGTATACACTTATGATAATCGAAGATGTGCGATGATCGTATCCATTCTATTTCTGAAGTGACTTTGAAGTTTTTCGTTTTGAAAAGTGTACGCGCTTGAAAGGTTATCGCTATCAACGATGTGTTATTTTTTTTTTATTTTTTTTTTTACATAAATACTGTTGTCGTTGTTGAGTTTTTTTATAGAGAAACATATCGTTTTAGTTTTATTTAATCGTCTTAGTTTTTATATTTTATATTACTATTATGGTTGGTGTAGAAATATTATAAAAAAGCTAATTTCGTGCAATTACAAAATAAGACGATATATTACAGATTTAGTTTTCATAAAAATTGTTGTTACGGACAACATATTCTTTGAACATAATCCCAATATTTATATACATATGTTACGTATGCAAAATTAATACAAATGTGTACAAAGCAAGTTACAAATGCGTGACTTAATTTTGAAATTTTTTTTTTAAGTTCGAGGCACATTCCTACATTTAATAAGTGATTTATAAGATCTTCAAACTACGTATTTATATCCGTCACTCAAAAATACAAGTATTTTTAAAAAAAGGAAGTAGTATATTATATAATTGAAAATT